CAGTCTTTGTTGTGGAGGGCACAAGCTCAGCTCCAAGTCCAGTCACCACTTTCAATCTAGTTGTGGAGGGGCGCAGCCCACCATCCCATGCAGGAGTCGAACCAACAACCTTGTACAGTTGAGCCATCCGGCCACCCATTGGCAGATCAGCGGCAGCTCAGCTCAGGCACAGCTCACTGACCCATGTGGGAATCGAACCGGTTACCCTGTTGCTCAGAGCTCGAGCTCTTAACCAACTGCGCCACCAGGCCGGCCCAGTTTCTATGTATCTTTTGATCTCTCCTCTTGTTTCTTCTTTGAACCAGTCATTCTTTAAAAGTATGTTATTCAATCTCCACAAATTTGTGTTTTTTCCTGCTTTCTTTTTGCAGTTGATATCCAATTGTAAAGCCTTGTAATCAGAGAATATGCTTGGTATGATTTCAATCTTCTTAGATTTGCTGAGGCTAGCTTTATGTCCCAATATATAGTATATCCTTGAGAATGTTCCATGTACACTAGAAAAAAATGTATAGGTTGATAGTCTAGGGTGACATGCTCTATAAATGTCAATTATGTTCATTTCATCTAATGTGTTATTCAGGGCTGATATTCCCTTATTTATTTTCTGTTTGGATGATTTATCCATCGTTTTCAATTACGTATTTAGATCCCCTACCATAATTGTGTTTTGTTCAATTTCTCCCTTTAGTTCTGTTAGTAGTTGCTTTGTATATTTCGGTGTTTCCTGATTGGGGGCATAAATATTAATTACTGTTACATCTTTTTGTTGTATAGCCCCTTTTATCATTATGAAATGTCCATCTTAGTCTCTTGTTACCTTTTTTATCTTGAAGTCTGTTTCACCTGATATCAGTATACATACACACCTGCTTTTCTCTGAATACTATTTGCTTGGAGTGTCAATTTCCACCCTTTCACTTTGAGTCTATATATGTACCGTATTTCCCCTTGTATAAAACACACCCTTTTTCGAAAAATGTGGGGCCTAAAAACTGGGTGCGTCTTATACTGTGGTTGTAGATTTTTTTACTTGAATTTGCTACTTTTTCACACTTGTTTTTGCGCTCATTGTTGTAGCTTTTTTACTTGCATTTCCGTTTTTTCGGGCTTGTTGTCTTTGCACTCACTGTTTCACACTTGTTACCAGTATATTACGGTAGGTTACGTTTTACCACTTTCTGCCCAGAAATGGCTCAGAAAAGATTTTCATACAGTGCTGAATTCAAGTTAAAAGTGATCCAGTTTGCAAAAGTGAATGGAAATCGTGCTGCTGAACATAAGTTTGATCCTCCTCCAACTGAGAAAACAATCCGAGACTGGCTACGGGAAGAAGAAACCCTACTGAAAACTCCACGGCAGAAGAAGGCCATGAACGGCAATATATGAAGACAGTGATTCGTCATCAGACACAGATGAGGACAAGCTAGTGGTTGGGAGTCTTGACAGTGATGAGGAGTTGTATGAATTTTATGATGAATAATACTTGAGTTCAATAACTTTATGTAATACTTTTTTTCAAATTTCGGGCCCCCAAATTAAAGTGCGTCTTATACATGGTAGCGTCTTATACATGGGGAAATACAGTATTTGTCGCTGAGATGTGTCTATTGGAGGCAGCATATGGTTGGGTTTAGTTTTTTTATCCAATCTGCTTCTTTGTGCCTTTTTATTGGTGAGCTCAGTCCATTTACATTTAGGGTGATTATTGATATGAGGATTTCCTATCATTCTATTTTTGGTTTTCTGGTAGGACTGTGTCACCATTGTTTCTTTGCCTTTTTGTTGCTGTGTATTATTTCAGTGTGGTGGTATTTCCCTCTGTTTCTTCTTTTTTATGTTATATATTTAAGTTCTGGATTTTTTTTTGAGTGGCTACCACTAAATTTATGGAAAAGAAAGTTTCATATTTAGAGTATTCCATTTTCTTCAGCATGCTTCCTTTCTCCATTCCCTTGTGCCGGTTCAGACCTTTACTCTCTCCCCTTTTATGTTTTTGTTGTCACAAATTATCCCTATTTATGTTGTGAGTTGATTTCTATGCTGCAGTAGCAAGTTGTCTTTTTTTCTTTCTTTTTAATTGTTTTTTTTTCTTCTTTACCCTGTACGTTATGTTTAAGTGTATAGTGTCCTATTTGGTGTAGAGGCTGACATTTCTTGCTTCTGTCTGTCTGTTCATGATACAACTCATGGTTTTGTGTTCTTTTGTTTTTTTTGTTTCAGGTCAAATAGCCTCCTTCAGTATTTCTTGTAATGCAGGTCATGTTTTAGAAAATTCCCTCAGCTTCAGTATGTCTGGAAAGGTCTTTATTCCTCCTTCATATCTAAAGGATATCTTTGCTGGATATGTTATTCTTGGCTCATAATTTCTCTTTCAATAGTTTGAATATTTGATTATATTCCCTCCTGGCTCGTAGTTTCTGCTGAAAAACCTGATGATAATATAATGGGCTTAAAAATATGGAACGTTTCATGAATTTGCATGTCATCTTGTGCAGGGGCCATGCTAAAATCTCTGTATCATTCCAATTTTAGTATATGTGCTGCAGAAGCAAGCACCTAGTTTTTTGTTTTTGTTTTTTTGTCTTTAAACCAGTAAAGAAATCATGTTGTAGACATGGCCTGAAAATTTCTCCTTACAGTTGGTGTATCTCAAATATCTTTTCATGTGGGTATGTAACCAGTGATATGCTGGAACCAGCTAATACCAGCTTGCAGTAGCCAGTTGTGTGAATCTCTTACCAACCCTTTATTCAGTGGTGTTCAATGACATCAAGTTGGTATCTTGAAATCTGCCATGGTGGGAGTAACATCATGTAAATTGGCAAATGCTAAAAATCAAGACCTTTGTCTCCCCCGCCAAAAGCTGATTGTTAAACATTTATTGTCCCTACACCACTGCATATAGCTCTCATCCTTTTAAGAGTATAGCAGTCCATGGCATTGATGTGCCACAATTTATTTAATTATTCTGTAGGGTATTTCTTAAATTCATGCTACCTTGAGGAAAATGGAGAGACTTTTTTTTTTCATGCGGGAGTCAAACCGGCAACCTTGCTGTTAAGAGTACATGTTCTATCTACTGAGCCATCCGGGTGGCAGCTCAGCTCAGGGTGCTGAGTTCAGTCTCAGCTGCGGGTGGGCGTAGCCCACCATGGAACAGGGAATCTTGTCATTAGGAGCACGTGCTCTCACCAGCTGAGCCATCCTGCCACCTGTTGGCAGCTCTGTGGCAGTTCAACTCAGGCACAGCCCAGGCGAAGCTCACTAGCCCACTGGCCCATGTGGGAATCGAACCAGTGACTCTGTAGCTCAGAGCTCGTGCTCTTAAGCAAACTCTTACCCAACTGAGCCACTTGGCCGGCCCCACAGAGACTTATTTAATTCACTATGAAGCAGAGCAAATAAGTAGCTGAGGAAGGAGTTTAAATCCATAGTCAATAAGGCGTTAATGACAGCAGCAGTTAAAGTAGACCATCAGTTAGTGTTGATGTTGAAAAGTGCACATAAATTGGGATATTTCAATGTGCTGCAATGAGAAAAAAAATATTTTCTCTAAAAAGAATTCATCCTATACAAATGGCCTCCACAGAATATGGGGCTGTGAAATTGTAGTCCTATATTTTCAATTCACTTGCCAATTTTAGCCTCAAGAAACCTCTGTGACTCAAATAAGCAAGCTGTGGGAACCAATGTGGAAATGCAGGATCTTTGAGATGAGCAGAGAAATTTTACTCAGAAATGGGACAGGCTGTCTCTACCAAAAGCAGTTGGAGTGTGACTCAGCAGAGGCAGAAACACGGGGCTTGTTGAAGAGCAGGAAATGACAGTAGGGCAGCTCTTGTTCACTGCACTGCCTGACATTGTAAGCTATTATGGAAGTGAGGCAGATCTTGTTTTGGCTTATTAAACTGATGTCATGATGCCCTGTGTTTGGGGTGTATGGAAAAATAGTTTTTGTGCCATAAAGATTATTAGAAAAAAAAGCTAAGGAATTGTTAACTTGAACCAATATTCTTCCTCTTAGCAAGTCATTGCCAGGCACACATGTAAGCCTAACCTGTCAGCTGAAGTGCAACAATAATTGTCTGGCTGCTGTGAGATTGTCACACTCCATAGCCTGCAGTTTGAAGTACATGGAGCTGACTCAGAGACCAGTTGTACAGAGTTGAAGAGAGAATTTGGATTTAGCTACCATGGAGTTGAGCATATTCTGTGCAGCCTATACCTAATCAAGCCTGTTTCTAGGCTAAATACTTCTTTGAAGAACTAATTCCTTGTCTCCTTTTCTAGCAGCTTCTAATGTTGGATCAGATTGGTCTTGATGTCTGCTGCCTGGCCACCCTAGGAAACCAGTTTGAAATTCTGTTTGCAGAAGTTCTCCCTTCTCAGATCTCTAAGTCTAAAATTTTTGCTCTGAGAGGTTCACTTGTTTTGTCTAAGCTTTATTCAATTATTAAAGACATCTTAAATCTACATGCTTAGATTTTAAATTATTTTTATTACACAGTTATTACATGCTTATAATTGCTACATTAGAAAATACAGAAAAGGGAAAAAATAGTCACCATCTGTAATTATACCTTTAAATATATATGCTTTATTTAAAATGATATATATATATATATATGAACCTCAAGATTGTTTTACAAATGATAAACAAAAAAATCATAACAGTGCATGAAGCAAACTTACTCATTGCCAAGTATTACATCCACAGATTGTGTTTTTTAACATAGAATCATTAAATCCTGTTCTCTTTCATATTGATAAATGTATGGTCAAACATTTCCAAATCACTGTCATGGGGATTTCTCAATTCAATATTAAATTCATCAAATTTTCAGTCATTTGCAAACAGAGAGCCTGGCCTGATTGTTCTAGTTTCTGAGAAAGAGGGAAGGAAGATGCAGCCTGCCAAGTTTCAGGTCTCAGACAAGTGCTCCCCTGCTAGATGGTGAGATGAAGCAGCTGATGGTCTCTTCTCTCTTCTGCTTTAGTCGGCGTTGGCCTGGGCCCGAGCCTCTGCTCGTTGCCTGAATTTTAACAGCATGCTGGTCCTGCTTCCCATGTGTCGAAATCTGCTGTCCTTCCTGAAGGGGACTTGTTCAGTGAGTTCCAAACACTCGTCGGTCAACTTTCCCATTAACGACAAGAGACCCTGGACTCCTCAGTCAGGCAGCCCAACATCGAGGATCTAGGAATAGAAGCCAGAGGTCTCCTTTGGTAGCCAAGGGGTGGGCAAGGGTGGGTGGATATTGGCATGTTCTATGTAAGACATGTTGGTTATGGGTTAGTGAATTTCATAAAGCTGCCTGGAGACGCCTGACCTCGATCGCTTTACATTTGTAGTTCCGCAAGTGCAGCCTCAGAAAGCACCTGGATCACAACCTCACCTTCCATAAGCTGGTGGCATATATGATCTGCCTACACACAGGTAACTGAGGCTCCCAGATATTCAGAATCTAGTTTCATTCATCCATGCATATAGACATTACAATGTGGTTATAACAATGTATAGTGCCAGCTGGGTACTAGGCTAGTCAGGGAGAGCACTTCTTAAGTTATGTAAAGGTCTAACCAAATTATGTAAAAGTCTAACCAAATTGTTATACACCTGAAATTAATATAAAATAATACTGAATGTCAACTGTAACTGAAAAATTTAAAAAGAGAGGGAAAGGTGAAGGGCAATAAGAGGTTCACATTTCCAGATGTAAAATATATAAGTCACGGGGATGTAATGTAGAGCATGGGGAATATAGTTAATACTATAGTGATAGCGTGGTACAGTGTCAGGTAGTTGCTTGAATTATCATGGTGATCACTTCTCTAGGTATGTAGATGCTGAATAACTATGGTATACCCCGAAAACTAATATAATATTGTATGTTAACTATATTTTTATTTTATTATATTTTAACTATATTTTTAATAAAAATATTTTTTAAAATAAAAAGAAATATTTATTTTACACTGGGCACTATTTGCCAGGCACTGTACTAGGCCTATTTTCTTGGAACTTACATTCTATTCCTTTGGGGACAGAATATCAAAAAGATCTTGGATCTCTCTGCAATCAAGGTTTATTGGGCACTTTCTGTGGACTTGGCATTCTGCTAGACACTATATATAGGATTCTCCTTTTCTAGTGGGCACGCCTGCCATGATGTTCCTGAGATAACTTGCACATTTCTTCCCATCTTTCCATTTAGCTATTCACATCATTGCACACCTGTTTAACTTTGAACGGTACAGCAGGAGCCGACAGGCCCCAGATGGATCCCTTGCTTCTGTTCTCTCCAACCTATCTCAAGAGGAAGGGGGCGTTTATTGGCTAAATCCCATCCAGTCCCCAAACATGGTGAGTTGACTCAATGGCAAACCATCTGGATTCTGGTCATGAACATTAAAGGCATGCTTTCCTTAGTAGACATTGTGTCAGGCTGACATTTCTCCTTTCATAGACAGTGATAGATGTGACATTCACCAGCATTCCTGGTCTCACTGGAGTGATCATCACGGTAGCTCTGGTTCTCATAGTGACTTCAGCTACGGAGTTTATACGGAGGAGTTATTTTGAGGTCTTCTGGTATACACACCACCTTTTTGTTATTTACTTCATCGGCTTAGGGATTCACGGCATTGGGTAAGGTCCTCGAACTCCTTTCTCATGCACCGGACCCTGACCTTGCATAATTCTTTGCTCCAAACTCTCCTCCTTTGTCTATTTCAGTGGAATTGTTCGGGGTCAAACAGAAGAGAGCATGAAGGAGAATCATCCTCACAGGTGTGCAGAGTCTTTTGAGAAGTGGGATGATCATAACTCTCACTGCAAGCCTCCCCAGTTTGAAGGGCACCCCGCTGAGGTAAAAACCCTATGGACAGGGATAGACTCTTGTTAGGAGCTGTTATTGTTGTTATTATTACTTATTATTATTACTACTATTATTACTTGGCCATTATATCCACAAGGTTAGTGCATGTTGTGAAACCCTCTCCAAAGGTAATAATGATAACCCACGTTATCAATAGTGTTCACCATGGGCCAAGTTTGCTGCATAACATAGATGATCTCATTTATACACAGCAATAACCTATGAGGTAGGTACTTCTTTTGTCTCCATTTTGAGGCAAATGGGCTAAGTAAGATTCAGAGAGATTAAGTAAACTGTCAAGCTCTCACAGTTTAAGTAACCTGTGAAGCTGGAATGCAAGCCCAGCCCTTTTAAATCCCAAACATTATGCTCTTGACCACTGTTCTGTCCCCAAACTTAGTTGTGAGAACCCAATCAAATTTTTTTAATTAAAGTTTATTGGGGTGACAATTGTTAGTAAAGTTATTCTTTTTCTCAGTTTTATTAAGTATAGTTGACAAAATTGTATGTACTTAAAATGTATAATGTGATGAACAATATATGTATACTTTGTGACAGGATTACTGCAATGAGGTTAATTAACACAGCCATCACTCCACATAGTTACCATTTGTGTGTGTGATGAGAATGCTTCAGATCTATTCTCTTAGCAAATTTCAAGTACACCACACGGTATTATTAACTATAGTCACCATACTGCACATTAGATCCCTGTAACTTACTCATCTTATAACTGAAGGTTTGTATCCTCTCACCAACATCTTCCCATTCCGCCCCCCAAACCCCCGCCACCAGCCCCTGGTTAACCACCTTTCTACTCTCTGTTTCTATGAGTTCAAATTTGTTTTTAAAAGCATTCTTGAGTTCGTTTTTCATTAGTGTTATAAGAACATGCTTGAAATTATTGTTAGATAATGAATGATCAAGAAACTGGATTCCAGGGAACCCAAGGTGTGCCTCAGGGTATTTATGTGGATATAGTGGCTTATCTTTGCTTGCTCATAAAATATGTTAGATTGAGGAATAAATGGAAGAAAAAGGTTAACTTGTACTGCCTCAAATATATCTGAGGATAATTAACATCTCTAAATCAGTGGAGAATGAAGAGCAATAGCTCAGTCCTCATTTAGAAAGGGGAAATATCTTTAAAAATATCCCCTAAAGTTGTCAATTTCAGTCAGTGGGGAAAAGATAGAGTATTTAATAATTTTCTTTAGGATAATAGAATATCCATCTAGGAAAAAAAGCTGTACCTTTATTCCACACTTTACACTAAAATATGGATCAAAGATGCATGGATCAAGAATTTAAATGTTAACAAAAAGAATGAAATCGTAAAAGTCCCCTAAGACCACATGGGAATTTTTTTTTCTAATTCTGGAGTATTAGTAAACAATATTCTCTAAGGCTGGCTGAGTGGCTCAGTTGGTTAAGAGTTGGCTTAAAAGCGTGAGCGCTGAGCAACAGGGCTGCCGGTTCGATTCCCACATGGGCCAGTGACGCTGCGCCCAAGCCGAGCTGTCACTGAGCTGCCAACAGGTGGCAGGATGGCTCAGCTGGTGTAACAACAAGATTGTCTGTTCGATGGTGGGCTATGCCCACCCACAACTAAGACTGAACTTGGCACCTTGAGCTGAGGTGCCGATCGGATGGTTCAGTGGATAGAGCGTGCCCTCTTAACAACAAGACTGCCGAGTTCAACTCCCGCATGGGATGGTGGCTACGTCCTTCCGCAACTAAGATTGAACACAGCACCTTGAGATTAGAGGCCACGAGCTGCGGATGGGAAGCCAGATGGCAACTGGTGCCCTCCACAACAAAGATTGAAGAACAACTTGGCTGGTCCCATTCCTCAATTCCCCAACACTGTTCCCCTCCCCTAATTCCCCAATAAAACCTTTAAAAAAATACTCTCTAAGATAAAAACAAATCTCAAAGCCAGAATAAGTATATATTCAATTCTGTTCAGTTGTCGGAAAAGATTTTCTATGTTTTTCATTTCAAAAATGCATCATGACTTTTCCAACAACCCAATATTATCTTTATATATTCAAGTTTTTTATTATTTATATATTCAAATGTATATATTATTTTGTGTGGCCAAAAAAACACATCATAAATAAAGACAGGCAACAAATTACTAAGGAGGAAAAGTATTACAACTTATAGACCAAAAACTAATTTCCTAATATATGACTCCTACAAATTAATAAGAAAAAGCCTACTATGTTACACACCTGAAACTAATATAAAATAATATTGAATGTCAACTGTAATTGAAAAATTAAAAAGGGGGGAAAAGGTGAAGGGGAATAAGAGATTCAAATTTCCAGCTATAAAACAAATAGGTCATGGGGGTATAACGTACAGCATAGGGAATATAGTCAATAATATTACAATAGCATAGTACGGTGTCAGATGGTTGCTGGACTTATCATGGTGATCACTTCTTTAGGTATATAATGTTGAATAACTATGGTGTACACCTGAAACTAATACAATATGGTATGTTAGCTATATTTTAATACAATTTTTTTAAAAAAATTGTCAAGATCATTAAAAACAAAGAAAGTCTGAGAAACCATTACAGCCAACAGGAGCCTAAGGAGACATGATGACCGAATGTAACATGATAGCCTGGATGGGATCCTGGAAGAGAAGAAGGTCATTAGGCAAAAACTGAAGAAATGTGAATAACATAGACTTCAGTTAAGATTCATGTCTCAATATTGGGTCATTAATTGTAACAAATGTAACACACTCATGTAAGATATTAATCACAGGGGAAACTGGATATGGAGTACATGAGAATTTTCTGTAAAATGTCCCCCCTTTTTTTCTGGAAATTTTCTCTAAATCTGTTCAAAAATAAAAAGTTTACTTAAAAAAAAGAAAAAGTCTAACAACCCCCCCCAAAAAATAGAAGATATGAACACAAAGATCACAGAAATGAAGATTTATGTTAATCTTAAGTCTATGAAATGATGCTTTATGTCATTCATAATGGAAGAAATGCAAAATAAAACTAATTTGGATACGTTTTTTTAACCAAACAGATTAGCAAAGATCAAAGAGCAAGTCTGCTCATGTGCTGTGTTGGCATTGCTGTCGTACATTACTGGTTAGAGTGTAAACCTATACAACTGCTTGTAAGGGTGATTTGGCAGTACTTACCAAACTTTAAAATTCTACTCCCAGGAGTTTTTCTAAAAACATACTGGCATATGTGTTAAATTACATCCATTAGGTTATTCATTGTAGCATTGATTGATAGAGCAAAAGATTGGAAATAAGTGCCCATCAATAGAAGACTAGTCAAATTATGAGACCTTCCTACAATGGAATACTCTACAGCTATTAAAGTGAAAGAGGCAGCCCTATAGGTACAAACATGTACTGATCTCTAAGATGTTAAATTAAAAAAAGGCAGGGTAGTGTGTATAGTCTGCTACCATTTGTACTTAAGGCAATATTATCACTTAAATGTATATTCTCCAGAAGGATTTACAAAATAATAACATTCATTATCTCTGGGGAGCTGGGTGACAGAGAAGGGAGATTTGTACTTTTGAATTTTGTGCAATGTACATGTATTACTTATTTTAAAAATAATTTTCAAAGGAAATGCATGGCCTATGTTAACAGTACCTTTCATTTCAAAACTCAGAGGAACTTGTAAGTTATAACCAGAGGACTTCTGTATTATTCGACAAGAGGCCCTTAAAGACGGGAACTTATAAAGCTTCATCAGCCCCTTACTAGCTAAGGCAGTTAATTCCGTCTTAACTTGCACATCAACATCGATCGTTTTCCCCTATATTGCCTGAGATAAGGTATATTTGGCCTCTTTGGAGGTGGACTTAAAACTCAAGTGTTGTTTTGATTGGTCAAGTAATACCCTAAGGGAGGGAACACCAGCTTTGCCATCTATTTGAATGTATTGGTTTGTTTCTTCCATAAACATTCAAAAGTACTCTCTCTACATTCTCCCCATTTAAAAATTATAAAAATAACTCGTTTATTATACAGTTTGGAAAATGCAGAAAAATAGTTAGAGGAAAATAAAAATTTCAGAGTTATACAACTTAGGAGTATTGTTTGTTTCCTCTTCATCAATATCATTGCATGCTTTCCTCTGTCGTCAAATATTCTTCTGAAACACCTGTTTTTAGAAAGCTGTATGGTATACCATTTTTTTAAATTGGGGAATTGGGGAAGGGGAATAGTGTTGGGGAATAGGGGAAGAGGAACAGCCAAGTTGTTGTCCTTCAATTTTAATTGTGGAGGGCACAGATAGTTCAGCTCCAAGTCCAGTCTTCATCTGGCCGCCTAACAGCAGCTCGCAACCACTCAGTTCAAGGTGCTGTGTTCAATCTTAGTTGCAGGTGGGTGTAGCCACCATCCCATACAGGATTCGAACTGGAAACCTTGTTGAGAGCACGTGCTGTCAACAGCTGAGCCATCCTGCCACGTGTTGGCAGCTCAGCCTCAGCTTAGCTCAGGCACAGCTCACTGGCCCATGTGGGTATCAAACCGGCGACCCTGTTGCTCAGAGCTCGCGCTCTTAACCAACTGAGCCACTCGGCCAGCCTTGGTATACCATTTTCATATTTTTTCTACATGGTTATTTTTAATGATATTGCAGGCATTAGGCTAAGTGCAGTAAGTCAGACAAAGCCAAATTCAGTATGATCTCACTTATATGTGGAACCTAATTAAAAAAAAACACACACACAAGCTCATAGATACAGGGAAGAGATTCAAGGTTGCCAGAGGCAGATGCGTGGTGGGCAAAATGGGTGAAAGTGGTCAACAGGTACAAACTTCCAGGTATAAATAAATAAGTCCTGGGGGTGTAATACACAGCATGGTGACTATAGTTAATAATACTGCATTGCATTTTTGAAAGTTGCCATCAAAAGATGCTGATCATAAGAAAAATCCTCATCATAGGAAAAAATATTTGTAATTATCTAAGGTGTTAACTACACTTGTGGTGACGATTATTTTGCAATATATACAAATATTGAATCATGTTGTACACCTAAAATATAATATTATATGTCATTATACCTCAATACAAAAAATAGATTAAAATTAAATTTAAAAAATGTATGGTACACCATTTTTTTCTTAGTAAAAATAGTGTGGCCATTACTATACTTGTATACTTTGTGCACACCTTGATTATTTTGTTATGCTCCATTTCCTAGAAGTGAAATTCCTGGGTAAAACAGAAGGAATGCAATGCTTTCAAGGCTGTTGAGATGTATTGCCAAATTGCTCCCTGGGAAGATGCTACTAATTTGCACTTTCACCAGCTGCACGTGTGAATGTGCCCATTTCCCTGCATCCCAATTAATGGTGGGCATTATTATTTAAAGTTATTTTTCAATTTGACAGGCTAAAATGCTACTTAGTTCTAACATTCCTCTGATTACTTTTGAGGTCAAAATTTTTCCCCACATTGTTATTAGCCATTTCTTAAATAATTTTTTTTCATGTCTTCTGAATTCAGCTGGGGATTTTTTCCAAATAAAAAGTAGCATCAAATTGTATAATGCCCACTCTCAGGTTCACTAGCCCCATCTCTGCCCCCTTTCTCCCCAGTTACCCAAGAAAGTTATTTACCTGAAATAGAATAAGAAACCTCATCCCACACAGTTCTGAGGTGTCACACTTGAACAATTGTGCAAGGAAGGACATGGCTTAACATTCCTAGGAAAAACATTTTCGGTAGCTCCTATGCATATGGAAGCAACTTGCTACCTTTAAGAAAATCTCAGGGATAGAAAGGCTGCTTTGAAAAAAAAATGTAGACAAGATATAAAGCATATTACTATGTTAGGTATCTTGAGTACCTGAGAAAAGAGGTGATGGATAAGTACCAAGTTTTATATATTGTTGTTACCAATAGTGTCACCCACGAACTTTCCCTTTTGTGTTAAGTTTGTTTTGTTATTAATCATCTGCTTCTATTCCACATCTACTGTCTCTGTTGGTTTTTCAGATTAGACAAGTTGTCCTGGAAAACAGTCTTAGATTTTTAAAATTAAATATATAATTTACCGTGTATTTAATTTCTGTCCTTTTCTTTTGCTTCCTGGTGAGACCTGTAAAATTTCAGGATGTGATCTGCTTTATGAGCAAGATTAGCAAACAAAACCGTTGTAGTTTATTCCTTTTCATTTGTGTCCTCAGGATTTGGCAAAATTAGTGGCTTAATAATGATCCACATCAGACAACTCGATCAATATTTATTGAATGAGGGAATGAACTGCCACACAAGTAAATCCTAAACAAGAGATTAATGTATAACCACATTCTTTACTCTGTTTCGGTGCAGTCTTGGAAGTGGATCCTTGCACCAGTTGTTCTTTATATCTTTGAAAGGATCCTCCGATTTTATCGCTCCCAGCAGCAGGTTGTGATTACTAAGGTAAAACATATGCAATTTCATCTTGCCATGATAAGAGTTCTGTTCTTCCTGATTATAGAAATAAATTGTCATGCTGTCACCCTGAAGGGAATAAAAAAAGAAATTGGGGGTAACATGCTTCAGTTCCTCCAGTGCTGGACAGAACCATGGGAAGAGGGATTGGGCAGACATCATCACCTCTCTGTCTGAGACTGTAAACTGACAGCCTGTGCCAGATGTAGCCCACAGACGTATTTTATTTGGCCCACACATCTGACTGTTTAGAAAGTCAAACTGGTTGCTAACACCTAAAAATCTGGATGGAGGGGTGGCCAGTTAGCTCAGTTGGTTAGAGCGCAGTGCTCATAAGACCAAGGTTGCTGGTTTGATCGCCATGCCCTACACAACTAGATTGAGACAACTGCCTGACTTCGAGGTGATGGGTCCTGGAAAAATACGCTGTTCCCAATAAAGTTTTTTTTAAAAATTGGATGGAGTCTTTTACTAAAAATGGCATTTCTGGCTTCTCTTGAAGAATCAGGTGAACCGATAGCACTGAGTCGCCATCTGGTAGTGCAACCCATTGTCTAGGCTAAGTAACTGCTGCCTCCTTTAGAAAGGACATGCTCACAGTTCACCACTGTCACCAGCCCTCCCAATTTACTCATTTACTTTGTCTACCTGCCCCTGTTGCCATTTGAAATTGCCTCCTTTGGTCTCTGTGCTTCATTCACAGGTTGTCATGCACCCATCCAAAGTTTTGGAATTGCAGATGAACAAACGTGGCTTCAGCATGGAAGTGGGACAGTATATTTTTGTGAATTGCCCCTCAATCTCTTACCTGGAGTGGCATCCCTTTACTCTGACCTCAGCTCCAGAGGAAGACTTCTTCTCCATTCACATCCGAGCTGTGGGGGACTGGACAGAAAATCTCCTAAAGGCTTTTGAACAACAGCATTCACCAGTTCCCAGGTAGGTCCTGGACAGTAGCAGGGACCCAGACCAGGAATGCAAACAGGCAGAAAAGAGAAAGCAATTCCTCGTTGAACTTTAAGTCTGGCATAATAGAATATGATTAAAATAAACAGGCTGAAATCAGCTGTGGGAACTGCTATGTCTCTAGGAGGATGTTTGAGGTTGGGGGTGGAGGTTAGACTTCACTTGCCCGTTGTCTTCCGTCTTCTGCCAGGATTCGGGTGGATGGTCCCTTTGGCACTGTCAGTGAGGATGTTTTCCATTATGAAGTGGCTGTGTTGGTCGGAGCAGGAATTGGGGTCACCCCCTTTGCTTCCATTTTGAAGTCCATCTGGTACAAATTCCGGCATGCAGATCACAGTCTCAAAACACAAACGGTACACTCCCTCATACCACTTTTCTTTCTTCCTTTTTTTTTCTTAAAAGATTTTATTGGGGAATTGGAGGATGGGAACGGCGTTGGGGAATCAGGGAAGGGGAACAGACAAGTTGCTGTCCTTCTGTTCTTCAGTCTAGTTGTGGAGGACGTCGCTTCACTGGCCCATGTTGGTATGATCATTGCGCTCTTCCCGGGTGAGGCAGTCACTCGCCGGCCTCTGGACGGCCACTCATGGCGACTCTTGGCAGCTCACACCAGCTGCCAGCCACTCACAGTAGTTTATGCAGCAGGGGCTGCAGCCTATGCCGTCGCCTCACGGCAGCCCAGCTCCAGGTCAAGCCGTTGTTCACCATCTTAGCTGTAGAGGGCAGTGTCACTGGCTCTCATGTGGGATCCAAACTGGGGCCCTGCTGCTCAGAGCTGGCGTCCCAAGCCAGCTCTTAACCAACGCGCCACTCAGCTGACCCCCTCATACCACTTTTCATCTGGTCTGGACCTGACAAGTCCATTGCTTTTCTGGGCTAAGTTCTTTACAATTGATAAGAGTAACCCCTCCCTGGAGTTATGAGAGCAAGCGATCACTTCTCTCTGCCACCCAAGGCATTTGCTTCTACAGATTTACCGTAAGAACAGAGTCTTCATTTTCAATTTGGAATTTATAATCACCTTGAAACAAAGATGACATTGGAGGTCTCTCTCCATAAGGGACGTTGCCAGGACTCTGGATATTCATGCTGCCTAATGTTTTCTGCTCTGTAGAAGGTGGTGTTTCAGGTCAGCCTACACTTGATCAACAAATATAGAGTATATCTACCTAATCATGTCACCACAGTGCGTATCGTAAAGGGCACTTAATAAGGCTATGTTCTCTCTTGCTGATTCCAGATCTATTTCTACTGGATCTGCAGGGAGACAGGTGCCTTTGCCTGGTTCAATGACCTATTGGGTTCCTTGGAACAGGAGATGGAGGACTTAGGCAAAGTGGGTTTTCTAAACTACCGTCTCTTCCTCACCGGATGGGATAGCAACATCGTGAGTTCAAACAACACGCTAATTCCCATGTTGAATGCGAGCTGAATGTCAGACAAAAGATCATGCATGCTGATTGGCAATAATTATTTCTTGTGATTTCCTACCTGCCCTCACCCTCATACCCAAGTTTTAAATTGGCTGAAGGAAGAGACAGTTATCAGGACCTGCTTTTTCTAACTTTTTATTTCTCTGACTCCAGGCTGGTCATGCAGCATTAAACTTTGACAAAGCCACGGACATCCTGACAGGCCTGAAACACAAAACCTTCTTTGGGAGACCTATGTGGGACAATGAGTTTTGTACAATAGCTACCACTCATCCCAAGTAAGTGTCTTTTCTTCTGGTTAGTTGAGTTTGCAGAGTTAAGGTTTAGGAAAGGTATTAACAGCATGTTGAACACTCTTTGGGAAAGATCTCTGGGGCAGAAACTATTTGCGTCCTTCTTAGATTCCTGCTTAAAACTGAGGAAATTCCATCTGGGGTTTTAGCCAAATAAGGGTCATGATCTTGTAATTGAGAAGACATTTGCTGCTCCTACAAGCCCCATTCAAATAGTGAGGGAAGAAGACTCAGTTCTGATCTGTATTACCAAACAAACTAGAGAACAGGAACTATTCAAATGCATTGCTTTTGGCCTTACTGAGTTCTGTTTTTGTTTTTTTTAAGTAGTGAAAAAGCAGTTTATTAGAAGAGATAGTACACTCCAAAGAATTAGGAGTGGGCCAACCACCTCAAGGCCCACGGTGGTATTATTAGGAGAAAAAGTACACTCCAAAGTGTTTGAGTGGGCCAAGCAAAGGAAGCAGCTCCAAAAGCCCTGAGCTGTATTGCAAGTAGCAAGGGTTCGGAGTGTATTATCTAGTTAACTGATTACCTGACCTTGATCTCTCTGTAGGGGTTTTGAGACACATTAAAGCATATAGGAAAACGTGGTGCCATCAGATCAGCCATTCTGACCGGAAGGAGGTTAAGCTGATATGTTAGATAAGTTCCCAGAACAAGTTGGCAGGTGAAGATCAATTCAATTCCACCAACATTACTGGTTACCTTCTATAAGCTCAGCACTCACTATTCAGGAAGCTTTGGAAGCTGAAAGAGAAATATGATATGGTTCTTACCTTCAAGGAGCACACATTTTAATATGAGATGCATACAATCAACTCAAAGCAGAATGATGCCCTCCATGAAACAGGTGCATGGACATTGAGGGAAGGAAACTCTATGCCCACATGGGGAGATCAGGAAAGACTTAATGAAGGCAGTCGTCACTTAGTAACTTGGATTCAGATGATCCTGGATCCTAATGCTAGTTCTGAGACTTCCTAGTTCTGGGATCTCGAGCTAGAAGACCCTCTGATCTTCAGATTTATCATCTGTAAAATGGAGGTTATGTTAGTAGATGCTTGCTCTCACTTACTGGATTGTTGTGGATATTAAGCAAGATGATGTTCTGTAAACAGCATATAAAGCAGAAGAGGTTATTTTAATTCATGTGTCGAGTTGACCATAGTTGAAGTTATGAGAATGGCTGAGATTGTTAGGAGAGATAGACAGTGACAGAATACAGAGTATTAAGGAATGCTTACATTATGTAGGAAGGGAGAAAGATGAACCAGGGAAGAAGGAGAATGTGGAGAAGTGGTGTCACAGAATCCAAGGGAGGAAATATTACAGAAGTGTGGTCAACAGTTTTGGAGGAGTGGCAGGGTCCAGGAAATGCTTATTTGGTATAAAGGTGATCTAAGCATATTTATAGACAGAACAGGAGCCAGTACATAGGAATAAAATAAATATACAAAAGGGGGAGAGGGCTAGGATGGCCATAATAAGAGACAGGCAATAATAAGAGTTGACAAGGAAGTGGAGGAATTGTAAGAGGGTTCCTCCTACATTGCTTGTTGGAATGTGAAATGGTGCAAACCTTGGGGAAAACTCTGGCATTTCCTCAAAATGTTAAACATAGAGTTAGTTACCACATGACTCAGCAATTTCACCCCTAAGTATGTCTCCAAGAGAAATAAAACATATGTCCACACAAAAACTTGTACGCAAGTGTACACAGAATAGCCCAAAAGTGGAAGCAACCCAAGTGTCCATCAATAGATGAATGGATAAACAAAATGTGGTACATGCACACAATGGAATGTTATTCAACTGTAAAAAGGAATAAAGTACCGATACATGCTACAAAGTGGATGAACCTTGAAAATAGTATGTTAGGTGCAAGAAACCAGACAAAAAGGCCACATATTGTATGATTTCACTTATATGAAATGTTCAGAATAGGCAAATCTAGAGACAGAAAGTAGATTTGATTGTCTAGGGCTGGGGGTGAGCAGTTGGGAAGAAATGGGGAGTGACTGCTAATGTGTATGGGGTTTCTTTCTGGGATGGTGAAAATGTTCTCAGATTAGAAAGCGGTGATGGTTCCACAACTTTGTGGCTATACTAAAACACACTAACTGCACACTTTAAAAGGATGAATGTTATGACACATGAATTACCTCAATTAAGTAAAAATGAGGGGAGAAGGTATGAGAGAAAGAAGAGGGTGAGACCCAGAGAATAGATTACCCTCCGCTGCCTCTTCAGTGTGAGAAATCTTGAAGTGGGGTTAAAATGGATGGGTTTAATGGCAGCTGACACATAGGCAGTTGCCATGTGCCAGGAATTTTTCTGATTGCTTTCCATATATATTTTTTTTCATTTAAACCTCAAAACAACCCTATGAGGTGGGTAGTATTTTTGTTCCCATTTACAGGGGTGGGGTGGAGTGGGGAATGGTAACACAGAGAGGTTAAGAAACTTCCCATATATATTTTTTTCATTTAAACCTCAAAACAACCCTATGAGGTGGGTAGTATTTTTGTTCCCATTTACAGGGGTGGGGTGGAGTGGGGAATGGTAACACAGAGAGGTTAAGAAACTTCCCAAAGTCACACAGCTGGGACAAGTGTCAGAGCTGGGATTTGAACTCAGGCAGCCTGGCTCTCTAGTCTCGCTAGCACTTAACCACCAGAGGGTGCTATATCTCCTGAGCGTCTGTTCTCAATAGGCTAGGCAAGGCTGAGTACTAAGAGTGCTAAGGGCTGGGAGCACATTTGGCACTTGCAAGCAGAAAAGGTGAGAAAACTACTATGAAGAATGTGAGGGGTCAAAAACTGAATTTTTATGCAAGATTGTTGGGAGTAGTAGAGGCCTGCAGGGGCCAGCTCTCCATTCTAGCCCTATTGTTCTATTCTTGCAGGTCTGCGGTGGGAGTCTTCTTGTGTGGTCCTCAGGCTTTGGCAAAGAGCCTTCGCAAATGCTGTCACCAATACTCCAGTTTGGATCCTAGGAAGGTTCAATTCTTCTTCAACAAAGAAAATTTCTGACTTACAGGAATAAGGATGCTCATCTGCATTTAGTCTCTCCTTTGTATCGTCAACAACTGACTTGGCCTGGTCAGGTTTGGGCAGGCACTTAAGGACACCATCTCTTGTAAGCCTTGACTCCCTGGTATTCTTTTTTTAGTTGGATTCAACTTTGTTGTCACTGAGGCTCAAGAACCTAAGAACTTCAGAAGTCACAATACTTGAAAAGCCCATGGAGCCTTTCTTGGGAAAAGAACTAAATCATTCTGGAATGCTGTGACTACAGCAAGGCCTAATAGCAGAGGTGGTTATCAATTTAACCCAGGGTGATTTTGTTGATTCCAATTGTTACTATCTCCTGGACTTCGGGTCATATGCTCCCCTCCTCCCCACCCTCAAAGAAGATTTCTAAGTACGGTGATTTTTTAAAACAAAAATTTATTTAAGAATTATTGACAAAACATAATAATAAGCATAAATAATAAAACAAACATAAAATTACCAAGAACCCCATCACTATGTTACATTATGTACATTCTTACTGTTATTTTAAACATGGTCTTTTCCAGTGTGAACAGCAATTTATGCTTTACTTAGTTTTGCTTGTCAAAAAATGAAGGATTTTCTTTGTTTTATGAATAAATCTTTTGTTATTTTATCTGCGCGCTTCATTTGGGAAAATCTTGAAAGTATGCTAATCATAATTGTATAATAATTGAAAGTCAGCTATATTGTGATTAGCACGCATTGCTCTGTTGGAAATAATTACGAAAACTTCAACTCCATCTTTGGATGACTTATTTAGTCAATGGTGGCTCTTTATCACCATTTTTATTAAGAGGGTTTGTTACTGTCTAGTTTGAAAAGATAATTTAGAATTTTGCTAACTTTTTCTGCTACTTACTTATTCATTAGGGAAATCATTTACCTAATGACATAAGCAAAATGCCTTTTTTTTTCTCCTGTCAAAATACTTTCTATTTTTCCCATCCACCTAGCTCTGGGATGTGAGTAGTCACAGTGAATCAGCAGAAAGGAAAGAAGATCCCTTAAAAGAGGGAAAAAAATCCATATTTTATTGTGCCCAAAGACAATTTAACTCCTTAGATTTATAAGAATGTTTCTACTGAATTAGCATTATAGCACCTATTTTGCTACCATTAAGTGACCAAAAATGGTTGTTTGAAATTATCCAGAAACCTATATGGCATCAAGGATTAGTAAAATCAATTTGTTCAGTCACTAGTCTGAACAAAATAAAGGTAGGTCAGGAACTCATGGTAGCGAATTGTTTCATTTATTAATCGGACATAAATAAAAAATACTAATGGAGGTTTCCATAGGAATAGATTGGGATACCCCCATTGTTGCTGATTTCCTGGATTTCAGCAGTCTAAATTAAATTTAGAAAGATTTTAGAAAAATGCACAATGAAACCTTAACAACATGGTTCCTATTAGATGACTGCTGACCAAATGATAATTTGATCTTCAATAACTTGGATTTGGAATTTTAGGGTTCCTTAAAACTTATAATGAATTCCTAATGAGAAAGGCTTCACTCTTGGTCTCAATGTCTAAATATATTATAGACACTTCAAGGTATGACTGCTGCTAAAATCAACATATCAAGGCCTGGAATATTCATGGAAGTAGGCAGAAAAGGTAATGATAATAACAAATACTATACATAATCAACATTCAAGCCCAAATTGGGGATGTGCAGGATACCCAGAAAGCTACTCAGCTGTTTTGAGCAAGTTTTTCTTCCTAGGTTGTAATATGAAGTATCTTATTCAGCAAATTCTTGTTGTAGTAAAGGTTTACATATGAGAGTAGAAAAATCCCTCAATTTCAATGTCTCTCATAAAGTTGATTATCTTTGCATTCTTTTGCTTGACATGTAAGCAATATGCTATTACATTCTCTAAGCCTATGGCAGGCTTTTAATTCACTTGACCATAATCCTAACCTGGGGGTAGGATTCTGAGAATATAAATAGGCTCGAGTAGTTCCAGTGGAACTTTACTAATTATTAAGGTACCTCATAATCTCTTGAGGTTGGCCTGATGGAGAGACATCATGTCCCTCCTTAATGCCACTATGAGAGAGAGAACAGGAGGCTGGAAGAGCCACAGGGTAGAGCTGGGGAACTAATGATGATCGTTATCTATCTGCAAGGAAGCAGGCGGGGGCAGGCCTAATGTGCAATCTGACTGCTTGTGCTCTACATTTGGTCCTCTTAAAATAAATAAGAATGTAAAAGTTTTAGGGTTTTCTATGTCCCAGAATAAATTTGGTTATAGGGTAGGGCTATAGGTTAGTGACTATCTAGAATGTGGAATAACATGTATTTTGTTCACATGGTTTCTGTTCAGTTTTTCTTTCACCATGAACATATAAAAAATTAGTGGCTTTTTTAACTTTTAAGGTTGACTACCCATGCTGAAGAGGACTTTTTGGTATCCATGATTTGCTTATCAAATTAACATATGCATCAGAACAGACAAGTAAATGTCAACAGTCTCCTGTGTTTCTGACACACTCAAACCAGTGGCTTATACAATATTTTTGCCTTATCTCTGAACTATGCATGTAAATACACATGCCATTGACCAAAAAAAATTATTTTGATATTTGAATTTTTCTAAACTAAATATACTAGGCTTTTTGCTTTGTTGGACTTCTGACCATTTTATAGCTCTAAGCATGTGCTATTTTCTCCCAGTAGACTCAGAAGTTCTAGCAAGTTCTCAAAGGGCAAATATTATTCCTGCTGGAAGCAAACTAAGTAAAAACTAAGTTTCAGAAAACATGGTTTCTGAGAAATTCTCAAACATCATCAAGAAGAATAAATGGTTAACTTAAAAGCAAAAACAGAGCTACGGCAATATAACAACCAAATACAATACTGCGTGAAGGGCAAAAACCACATCTAAGGTTTCACCCTTGGTATTCAGCTTTTTAAAAGCAAAAAGGTCGTGTATATCAATTTGCAGTATACTAAAATTGTGTTCAAAGTTTATTTCAAGTCACAGAAAGTATACAAATTCATACAACAGAACGAACTGGTTTTGTTCTGAGAGAAGGTGATGGGAGTCCTCCACCTGGCACCAATTTGAGTCATTCAAGGGTTAGGATGTAGAAGTCATATTTTTGTAACATTTCAACAAGTTATGGAATTAACTTCCAGATTTTTTGCCAGGTATTTTTGAAAACCTGTAAGGAAAAGTTGGGAGAAAGCCATCAGAAATGGAGACAAAGTTCTCTTCCCCAAACGTCATGGGAAAAAAAAATGAAAGGTGGGGGAGGGAGGCTATGCATAAGAGCCAAACACCAGGGGCAGATTCCCAAGGTGTCTGCCTCCTGTCTCCCCAAAGTAATCATCCTTTATAGCAGGGTTTCTCAACCTCAGCACTACTGACATTTGGGGCCAGATAACTCTTTGTTATGGGGGCATGTCCTGTGCATTACATTATAGGATGTTTAGTAGCATCTCTGGTCTCTACCCACCGAATGCCAGTAGCACACCCTAGTCCCCAAAGCTGTGACAACCAAAAATGTCTGTAGACATTTTTTTTAAGATTTTATTGGGGAATTGGGAGAGGGAACAGCATTAGGGAATTGGGGAAGGGGAACAGACAAGTTGCTGTTGTTTTATTCTTCAGTCTAGTTGTGGAGCACGTTGCTTCACTGGCCCAAGTTGGCACCATCATTGCGCTCTTCCTGGGCGAGGCACATCAGTCGCTGGCTTCTGGATGGCCACTCACAGTGGCTGCTGGCCACTCACGCTGGCTGCTGGCTACACACGGTAGCCCATGGCAGCCCACTGAAGCAGTGGCTGCAGCCTACGCCGTCACTGGTGACTCACGGCAGCCCAGCTCCAGGTTGAGCTGTTGTTCAGCATCTTAGCTGCAGAGGGCAGTGTCACTGGCCCTCATACGTGGGATCCGAACCGGGGCCCTCTGGCGTCCCAAGCCAGCTCTTAACCAACGCGCCACTCGGCCGGCCCACAGACATTTCTAAATGTCCTGTAGGGGGCAAAACTGCTTCTGGCTGAGAACTGGTGATCTAATGGTAATGGTATGTAAACCTGTCAGTGACAGTGGAGATGGATCAAAACTAGCAAGGTATAGGATGGAGGGAGAGCCAACATTTTGGCTACAGTATGCACAGATACCAGCAAATACACATTAAAACCTTGCCTGTGTAAAACTGCATAGAGCTACATGCACACAATACACATACACACACAAATTAATGTAGGTTTAAAAAATGGTGAAAACTGAGTAAGGTCTGTAGTCTGGTTAGCAGTAATGTACCAATGTTAATTTCTTGGTTTTCTACTACAATCCAAAAAGGTATCGTACAACAGCTTCTCAAGATGTTATCATTGGGGGAAGGGTACAGGAGGCTCTTGGTAGTATTTTCCCAACTACCTGTGAATTGACAATTATTTCAAAATAAAAGGTAAAACAAAAACCCTTGCCCTGTGGTTTATGTGTAAGGCTTTGATATGAGTGAGATATAAGCAAGATCACATAATAAAAGAACTTTCAGAAACACTTCTATCTCCATTACTCCAAAACAATCATTTCCTCACATTGTAGGGGATGCCTTCTCTGGCATAAATAAATTAGAAACAGTAAACGAGAGGAAGTGTTTTGTTTATCTGTTCCTCTGAATACAGTAAGTAGTCTATACTTTAACCGAAGAAAATAGAATGCCTCAGGTATCTGGACTAAAAAGTTAAAGTGCTGGTCATACCCAAAGTCTAGCTAGCCAATCATCCATTACAGATACAATGCATTTTTCCGGTCTGGATGTTTCAAGGACATTACAAATATGGATTAAAATACAATGTATTTAGTAAAGATTGCTAATTAGTGTAAATGAGTTCACTATTTTATGATAATATATGGGTGGAAATTATAATATGAATGGGGTGAAAACTAGATTTTTTTTTAATTGGGGAATTGGGGGGATGGGAACAGCGCTGGGGAATTGGGGGAAGGGGAACAGACAAGTTGCTGTCCTTTTCTTCTTCAGTCTAGTTGTGGAGGACGTCGCTTCACTGGCCCAAGTTGGCACCATCATTGCGCTCTTCCCAGGCGAGGCAGATCAGTCGCCGGCTTCTGGACGGCTGCTCAAGGCGGCTGCTGGCCGCTCACGCTGGCTGCTGGCCGCTCACGCTGGCTGCTGGCCGCTCACGCTGGCTGCTGGCCGCTCACGCTGGCTGCTGGCTACACACGGTAGCCCTTGGCAACCCACTGCCACAGGGGCTGCAGCAGCCTACGCCGTCGCCGGCGACTCACAGCAGCCCAGCTCCCGGTTGAGCTGTTGTTCAGCATCTTAGCTGTGGAGGGCAGTGTCACTGGCCCTCATATGTGGGATCCGAACCGGGGCCCTCTGGTGCCCCAAGCCAGTTCTAACCATCACACCACTCGGCCGGCCCGACAATGTGACTTTTAAAGTGTTCTGAGGAAATAGGATTATTTATGAAATACACATGTTGGGGGGAAATTTTTAAAAAGAAACACCAGAACATGTAATGAAGTTAGGTCACATGATCATGTTCCTTTTTACCTGGCTGATGAGCAGGAAAAACAAGGGCAGCAGTACAGCAATCTGTAAAATGTATCGGAACTGACGGCGATGGCGGAGACCCATGACCTTAATTATGTGCTGCGGTACTCTAACCTCCAAACATTCAATATAAAATAAATACTGGGAACTAAAACATTTACACATTTTAGTAAAATACTTTGTATTTTTTCCATTTATATGGGACAGTTTGGAATAACTGATTATCGGGAAGAATATACACTAAAGTGTATTTCAGAGGTTATGTCTGGGGATCAAGATTGAGGATAGAGTGCTTATTACCCTGAACTTTTTACTTTTTTATTTTCAATTAATTTTGTTAAACTGATTGTATGTGACTTTTGCCATTAAGAAGGAAAGGTTTAAAAAGATGACAACTAATGCAACGAATGCCCTGTAGCCTTCCGCTATCCCGATAGGGCTGAGCGACTGAAGAGTGAAGAGTCTAGCCAAGGAGCAAAGGCCTCAGAGCCTTGAGATCAGGACAGTCTTGTTGGCTGAGGTTGGAGGTATATGCCCCAAATACACACGGAGATTGTTTCACTCACATGGGGTGGGTCTGCTCACCTTTCAAGGTGCTCCAGTGGATTTCTGTATTTGTTCCTTTAAGATCAGGATACTCTGCCTCTGCTCAGGAGGCAGCATGGCGATCTGGTCTGCAGTCAGTTGAAGGACCTGCATGATCAAAGCAGCCTGTGCAGAGCAAAAAAAAGGTAGGAAGTTTTCATGATGGCAGCTAAAAAGACAACACCAGCTTCTGTCCAAAAAGGAAAAATATTTCACACATAGAAAATAGCCCCCCTCCCGCACCAAATCAACTCAAACCACACAAAGAAAACAAAAGCAGCTGCTGAGAAAAGGCACAATGAAAAGCACAGGGACAATAATACCTAAGATTAGAAGACTCAAAACAGGCACCTTCACGAACCCAAAGTTCTTGCAGACTAAAGTGGTATCTATGAGCCCTGGGAAGTCTTCAATTTATAATCCTGTTTTGAAAGTCTCTCCTTTTTACAAGTGTCAGCCTTTCCATCAGACATGAGCTTCCCAAAATGGTCAAATACAGAAACAGAAAGATATTCGTGGGGAATCTGTTACTGTTTTCAGGGATAAGGAAGAAGGAAGGGATTCGGATTTTCAGGTCAATAGGGCCTGCAAAAAAAAACCTGCTATTGGCAGGTAAGTCTGAAGTGTAAGATAAGCTGCCATTTATATACATCCACTTAAGGATTTTAGGACTGGCCCACAAATTTTCAGGTGACAAGATCACAGAGAGTTCTAAGAGTAAAGGTCACTTCCGAAGGGACTCCAAAAACCCAGGACTTGCACATGGTAACTAAAAAGGAAGCCAGCATATGGAGGCAGTCAGACAGTGCAGCTTACCTTCTCATGGTCCTGTGGGGTGACCTGGTTCTGGCCAGGACTAAAGGCACCAGGCTGGCCTCCACCCTGGATGCCTGCTCCTTGCATACCTGCTCCCTGCATGACTGGGACCTATGTGCACGGACAGAGATGAGGAGAGATTTTCAGAACTTCTCATCTAGGTAACCAGGATTCAGTAATAGCAATGTGAAAAAATCGGATCTGATTTTGGATATGAGAAGCAAATTAATGACTATGAAGACCAGTTCCCACTGCTAGCAATGGCAGAAGGCAGGGTGTAGGCAGAGGTCAATGAGCAAGTCAGACATATCTGCTTACCACAGCTCCAGCATCATCAACAAATATCACAGCACAAGGGGATACCATCAAATCAAGTAAAATTCAGCCACATGAGCACAGAGAAAACTGAGAGCATCCTGGAAACTAGTGCTCCGTGGAAAGAGAAATTGAAGCTGACAGAGTCTAGAGATAATGTGTGCTGGTCCACAGGGAAGCTCCATTCACAGGGATACCGCCTACCTCTGGTTCAATTAAGACACAGGCGGTTCATCCCAAAGCGCCTATCCCACAAATAAGGCCGAGATGATTATACCAGCAGAGGCAAAAGGAGATGGGAAGGCCTTTGGGGAGAAGACTGCTATTAGCCCAACATTTGCTTTTTGTAATTTCCACAGAATACACAGCAGATGCTTTTTGCTAAATACAGACCAAGAAATATGACTGACCTGAACTAAAAGAACAAAGTGCAGTTGTATCATACTTATGGTATTTAAGATATTTGATGAGTTCAATCTTTGGGAAGCCTATCAGAACCCAAGGAAAGGCCTCCAAGCACTGAGAATAACTGTTACAAAGTCCCTATGCTCGAGTTATGCTCACACTCAGGTATTCGCCCAAAGCTTAGGTATTCTTATTAAACACAAACTGCTAACAAACATGTTACCTGCTTCCCCAGCATACTAGAAGCAGCAAAGCATAAAAGAAATGTGGACAGACCGTTAGGAGCAGATACCATGACAGCAACGGGAGGAGGCAGGTGACAGCCTGACAGTGAAGGAAACCAGAAACCAAACAGGAGGTAACTATGCTTTCTATTATACACATACAATAATGGGTCCATGTCATGATGGCCTTGAGTAATCAGAAGGATGAGAATCATTTTGTACATCCTGCTTAAGAAGGGAAGGAAGCAAAATACACTTTCTAAATTACTCTTTCATTCGAGTAGTTTAAAAACTTGGTTGAATATTCCTATTATCTGAAACATTCACTTACATGGACTGCTCATTTCCCAGACACCAGAGATAATACATGAGGACAACTTTGTACAGATTGCTAGAACATTATCACTTTCTGTTCTTGATTAATACTGAATCTAGAGACTGGTCTGAACTTTCAAAATCTGTTACAGATCTGAAACATCTGTGAGAATAACCTTTTGAAACTTCATTCAATACTAATTTGAAGTACTGCAATGTGATCTAACCATCCACTAATTGCCATTTAAAGTTTCCAGGAGTGCCTGTTCCAGGCAGAGAAGTAATAATATGGGTGATCACACATCTAGGTTTGCCTAAGACCGTCCCAGTTTATGCTTTTGTCCCCAAGTAATTACCAATAGCACTCTCACTCTCAAACGTGTCCCTGTATGAATAAGTTATATAATCACCCTACTAATAATAAGCCTTTTACCAACAAGTTTCAGACTTAGGTGTACTGGAGTTAATTATAAAATCTGATTGAAAATGATTAAAGATATACCGTTACGTAAAAAACCAAGGCCCAGAACAGCGAAAGAGGGAAATATAAGAGTATATGTATATTCATATTTGAAACAAGAATATATGTTATTTGCTAGAAAGATACATTTTAAAAAATCTAAAAATAGCCATTATCTCTAGGAGATAGGGATCACAGGGCAGATTGGTACAGGGGAGAAAGTGAAGTTCTTGTATATCTATTACATATGAGTGAACGTATTCTATATATTTGTTTATAAGTAAACACTGATTTAAACAATTTTTAAAAGGTTTGAAGATTTTTTTTATTCTTTCTACCTCAGATCTAATTAGCTGTATAGAATCTACTAAAGAAAATTACATAAATCTAATATTGCAGAGTAATGAGTTCAAGCACTAGAGAGATAAAGGAGCAAGATATTATCCAGAAATGGTCTTCCAACCATTCTTTTCAACATCTTTCTCCACAGCATTATCAAAAGAATTACATAAGCACATCATGTAGTTATTTGTTGTCTGCCTCTCCAACTGGAATACAAGCCTAACAGGGCAGGGACTTCATTTTATTCACACTGCTACATCCTAGTACCTATAGCTCTGTCTGGTACATAGTAGGTGGTCAATAAATATTTGTTGAATGACTGAACGCACAAAAAACATTTCTATTATGAGGCTACTGACCATAGAGGGCACAATAAACATCAAGGTCTTTGAACACATTTTTTTGAAAGCACAACTTGAAAAACAATAGAGAAGATTTCTTCTACACATTCCAGAAACAAAATGCTCAGATTTCATATTAAAGAGGGAGAGGTAGACACACATATACACACACGCAACATGCAGGTAACAGGACAGAGTGATACAATGCAAAAAATAGTGGATCCTATTCCTTGCTTTGCCACTTTTTACTTGTGTGAATTTAGGTAAATCAACTGAATTATTTGGTCTCAGTTTCCAATCCTACAAAATGAAAAAACTGGATGATTGACATGCTCCATTTCATCTCTCACATATTCTCTTTCTCTCTTTCACTCTTTCACTCTTTCTCTTTCTCTGTCTCTCTCTCTCACACAAACACACGCGCGCACACACACACACACACACACACACACACACACACACACACCAGGGCAGGAAGGCACAGAAGCATATAGAAGACGAAAGAGAGACAGAAGTACATAGGGCAGCAGTTCTCAACCTGTGGGTCGCGACCCCTTTGGGGGTCGAATGACCCTTTCACAGGGGTCGCCTAAGACCATCAGAAAACAAAAAGATCTTGACATTATGATTCATAACAGTAGCAAAATTACAGTTCTAGAGTAGCAATAAAAATAATTTTATGGTTGGGGTTCACCACAACATGAGGAACTATATTAAGGGGTCGCGACATTAGGAAGGTTGAGAAACGCTGACATAGAGGAAGGAGAAAGACACATAGAGGAAAAAGGAAGGTGCAGGGGTTGAGGGAGATGAAGGTTCTAGCATATAAAAACTCAGGGAAGATATGCATACACAACCTCCCCATAACCAATTGAAGGTGAAGAAGCAGGAGATGACAACACAAAAATAATCTCAAGAACACCATATACTCTTAGCTCGAGAGAGGTAAATAAAAAAAAAGCAGAGATAAGAATTCAGTCCCATGGGTTTTAAGGTGAGCATTAGTAAACTGCCTTTCATACTCGACTGTTCACTGAGGCTATGCAATAAAAGTAAAGTAAAATAGGTTTATACAAACCTAAGATTATCCAAACGACCACTAAGTGCTCTTCATATGCTCTAATGTAGTGGCCCTTAGGGTTGTACATTAGAATTGTTTGGGGGAGGTTTTCAAATGACCCATGCCTAGATTCTATGGATATACTATCTCCTGAATTTCCAGGGCCTCTTTTCTGAATGGAAGAGTTCCTGAAATTGTGCAACAAGGTTGCTCTTTTGGACTACAATCCTGGTGGCCAGAGAATCACCACCCGAAGGGACAGAGAAACTAAAGGAAGGGCGATTCTAATCTTCCCTTTCTAACAAACTGAGAAATAGCCCAAATCAGAAAACAGTAATAATCAGGCTCAATAATAAATTCCTAAATAGATCAAGATTTCACATAGAAGCAAGAAGTGAGTGTTACACATACCTGTCTGGACCCCTGGGGGCCAACTGCCCCCATGTTCATTGGATTGGGACCCTGGATTCCACTAGGTATAGGGCCTCTAGGGACAGGGACAGGGCCCCTTGTATCCATGCTTCGGGCCTCCATCCCTCTGACTTCCATCGCGCGGGCCTCCATTGCGCGGGCCTCCATCGCACGGGCCTCCATTGCACGGGCTTCCATTGCACGGGCTTCTAATCCTCTTGCCTCCATGGCTCGTGCCTCCATGGCTCGTGCCTCCATGGCTCGTGCCTCTATACTTCTAGGATCCCTTCCACCTATAAAGCAAGGTGCAAGAAAACCACTGTGTAGCTACTTACCTTTACTGCAAAAAGAACCAACGACCCAAGAAAGACAGAAATCTATTCCTTTAGTCTCACCTCGCCCTAACTCCATGAGAATGCTTTCTCCTCCCAAATTTCTCAGATTTGCAGATAAACCTTAAAAATACTTACCAACCCTATCACTCCAGCATTCTTTATCCCAGATTAGAGCCTAAGACAGTCAGGTTTATTATCAGCCCACAATTACCAGTCAGTCTTGTGACATGGTCTGACTTTACCTCTGCCATCCAAGGGTGGACCCCTCTGATCTAGCATGGGTCCTCTTGGCTCTGCCATTAGAGGTCTGGGCTCGGCTAACGGTCCTCCCCTCATTTCATGTGGGGGTGGGCCACGGCCATCATGGCCAGGGACATGGTGCATGGGTGGACCCTGATGAGGTGGTCCCAGGTAACCTCTACAGATGGAAAAAAATATTATATTTTAAAAGAGAACAAAACAACAAGATAAAAGTGTCAAGTAGAAGATCAGTAAGTAAAAATCAGACAAAGAAATGATGCAAACATCAGTCTACAAATGCTAAGAGAATAACATCAAACAGATTGAAGAAAAGCTATAGAGGTATAAAACAACATATTTTAGAATTTCATATTTGGCCAGGGCACTTATAATTGAGGAATTAATGGATGAGTATGCAGTATAGTGCTTAAGGACATGGTTACCATATGGGTTCAAATATAGGCTCCATCACTTATTAGCTGTGTGATCTTGGGCACATTTACTTAACTTCTCTATGCCTAGGTTTCATCTGTAAAATGGGACTGGTGTTAGTATCAGTTTCACAGGGTTGTTGTGTGGATTTAAAGAGATGATCTAAGTAAAGTACTCAGAGCAGAGTCAGAGGCATAATCCCCGTGAATATCAATTATTATTGTTGCCATTATTAATATTACTATTCCCAATAAGCAATATAAGATTTTCTTGTTTAGGTATGTGTGCTAGATTTTCCAATTTCTAAAGATGGAGTGGCCATGGTTAGTTCAAAATGACACACTCAATTACACAGTTCTGCCCAAAGAGAGGTGATCAGTTTTGGACAGCAACCTAGAGGTACAACTGGTGTGGAAAGACTGTGTTCTCAAAGTGAGGGGAAACTGTGATTCCTTCAAGCTTTCTTTCTAAGTCACTGGCTTACCTAGGCTCTACTTCTCCAGTTACAGAAAGTAAAGTGCCTCCACGTGGGTCATTGGGAGCATCTCCTAACAGACCGCGAGGAGTTGGGACGTTGGCAGGCAAGGGGCCACGCTGCATAGTTGCTCTGGGGTCTTGCATTGGTACTGATGGGGAAATAAACGGGGAGTTACTGCTGTGAAGGACAGAAGGAAATGAGAAACGACTCTATAGACCACTGACAACACAATTCAGACACCTTAGAGCAGGTGAAACCTCACCACAGCAGACTCCTCTTGAAGCTCAAGAACAGAAGAACAGTGTAGGCAGAATCTGTGCCATGTCAGAGATATGGACAGAAGTACACAGAAGAGTAAACTGGGGTGCAACCTGCCAAGGACTAGCACTGCAACCTGAAGGAGCTTATGCTCCTGGTTTTCCTTACAATTAATCTTAGTTCAAGGACCAGAGTCACAAAAGAGAGGTAGGGTCTTGGCATATGTGAACACTGCCATGGCTCTGCCAGAACCTGCTGTTTCCTTACACACTGCTATTCCATGCAAGCCTCCTGACACCAGTAAGGAGGGAGTGCGGCCTCGGACGGATGCCCATATCATCCATGTTCTCTACCCTATGTGAAGAGGTCACTCAGGCTTGTGGCCCCAACAGGTAAAGATTAAAAAAAAAACCAAAAACCCAAAATACTACCTTTCTGGATTCTGATCGCGAGGATGACTGCCAAGCAACCCTTGTCCTCTCAACGTCCCACCCTGAACACCACAAGCAAAAGGAAACCTGCAGATACAATGGGTACCTTGAACTCGCTCAATTGATGCAGGCCCGGCGGGTCCCACGGGCGAGTGCTGTAGGCTTCCTAGGTGAGCAGTAAGTTCAAAAGGAGAAAGAGCAGACACTTAAAATAGCTTGCACACACATGCAGAAACACACACGTACAGACACTGGAGATTTATGCACATAAGTTAAGAAGCCAAGAGTTCATTAGTTTGCCCCAGGCTACAAAATCTTCCTAAACTATATTAGTTTCTTTGGGATCTGAAACTGCTTTGATGAAATTGCTTCCTAAGGTGAAACCTGTGGGTGACTGATTTTATTTGGGCAGGAACAACCAGCTACTTTAAATTTTCACCTCTGCTCCTATGATTCCCCCTAAACCTCCTTATGATACCATTAGAAAAAAGAAACAAATGTCAAAAAGATGTTTCCGAATCTCTAGTTAGGTAAAAAAAGACAAATGATATAAGGAAAAATGAAAGAAATAACACTGCACCTGGAAGGCAAGATTTATTCTGGAGAGGCCCATAACAGTACTATTTCTGCCATATTTTAAAGCACAAAAATTTCTGCTATCAAAAAGTATCAAATGGGGAAATGCAGTTTAATGGACTTTAGACGAGAGTATCACTCCTCAAGAAATACTCTGTTACTGCAAGCCTTTGATAATAAATAATCATGACAACAGCAAACAAAGACCAACACCAGACAAAGGTGGCACAAGGAAAGAGGAAGTATCTTCTGAAACATCTCAGTGTCTCCTTTCTCCATTACAAATGTGCAAAAGAAACCAGGATTCAGAGGAGGATGGGGGACAAACTAGTTACAAAGGGAAAGATTCCCGCTTCCTCTGCTGGATACTGAAGGAAAACTATAAAAGGAAACTCATCTCACTTTGTCTCTTCATGAAGACAGCCTTGATATACCTCCATAGCTTGAGTCATTTCCCTTTGTCAACTTTTGACCAGAAAGGTGACGAAAACTAAAGCAGGAAAGATGTCTGACAATTAAGTTCATGAACTTGTTGCAATGATTTGCTAACTTTTTCTGATATCACAGGGATTACTCATTATTAATTTGTACCAACTGGACAGTTAACCAAGTTTACTATTTGGAAGTGCTGAAAAGGCTGCGTGAAAAGGTTAGACTTCCTGAACTTTTCGCCAATTCATGGCTCTTGCATCACGACAATGCACCAGCTCACACAGCACTGTCTGTGAGGGAGTTTTTAGCCAGTAAACAAATAACTGTACTGGAACACCCTCCCTACTCACCACATCTGGCCCCCAATGGCTTCTTTCTTACCCGAAGATAAAGGAAACATTGAAAGGAAGACATTTTGATGACATTCAGGACATCAAGGGTAAATACGATCACAGCTCTATTGGCCATTCCAGAAAAAGAGATCCAGAATTGCTTTGAAGGGTGGACTAGGTGCAGGAATTGGTGCATAGGTTCCCACGGGGAGTACTTTGAAGGTAACCATAGTGATATTCTGCAATGAGGTATGTATCACTTTCTCTAGGATGAGTTCGCGAACTTAATTGTGAGACCCCTGTATATTTAATAGCTCTAGCTTGATTGATGACTTGGGGAGAGGTAAAAGTATGACTGAAACCCCAATTCCTTCTCATTACTGCAAAAATACATTGGGGTAATACACAATCTACTGATTAGGCAAAGGGGTTGAGCACAATAGCATAAAAGCATGGGCTGCTCAAATGAGATATTTAGTCAAGAGCTTGTCCCACGTCAACCATCTGACAAGATTATTAGTCTGTCACTTCAGTAACCAATCCCAGTGTACAAACTATAGACAAGAAGTATAGTACATATACCTATTTCTTAATATTTTGCTTACAAAAATAGGTTTCACTTACAGGCCTTATGCTAAAAAGAACTTAAGCTTCTCTCTGTGTCCAAAGTTGTTCTTTTTCATCACAAGGACATAATGAATAAAAAAAGGAGACACTGCAGAGTATTTTGGGAAGTTAATAGAGGCAGTGTGGATGACAAAAAGAGGATAGATTCTAGAATCAGAGACTTCGGAATCTTACCTCTGCGACGTACTAATAGATGGAAGAGACAATGAGTGCATCAAGTCCAGTCCATGTTACTCAGATGTTGGTATTTACCATGTCGCCGTAAGTAACTTAAAACTCAGCTTCCATCTCTTTATCTGAAAACTTGAGGTGCTGCCCCTTAACTCACAAGATTGTTCATGAAAATTCAAGTGCCTGGCCTACAGCATGCACTGTTTTATGGTTAGTTCCTTCTGTTTTCTCTCTCTCTCTCCTTCTAATGTCATTTTTTTCTTTTTTTTTATTAGGGAATTGGCGAAGGGGAACAGTGTTGGGGAATTTGGGAAGGGTAACAGCCAAGTTGTTGCCCTTTAATCTTAGTTGTGGAGGGCACAACTAACTCAGTTCCAAGTCCAGTCGCCACCCGGCCACCCGTCAGTAACTCATGGCTGCTTGGCTCAAGGTGCCGTGTTCAATCTTAGTTTTGGATGGGTGTAGCCCACCATTCCATGCAGGAGTCAAACCAGCAATCTTGTTGTTAGGAGCACCTGCTCTTACCAACTGAGCCATCCTGCCACCTGTTGGCAGCTCAGCTCGGGCGCAGCTCACTGGCCCGTGTGGGAATCTAACCAGTGACCCTGTTGCTCAGAGCTCGCGCTCTTAACCAACTGCGCCACTTGGCCGGCCCTAACGTCGTTTTTAACTGAAGCAATGCACTTTCTTTTTCTTCATACTCTAATAACATAGATAAATAACCTGCCACTGTGGCAGCCCAGTGTTACTGGCACAGTATAACATATACCTATCAAGTAGGCTTCATATGCCTTTGATACCCTCCCAGTTTTCTCTGGGGTTTCAATGTAGTCTTCTACATACCTGGCTGCATATTATTAAAATGTCTTACTTAGTCAATAGCTATCCAGAGGGAGTGTGAACACATCAGCAGAATCATTAGACTATCAGGAAAAGGTGATATAAATTAAATGGAAACAAAGGATCCATTTGCTTCGTCCTCAGTTCTTGTAGAGCTGGGCTCTGAATCACTAGACAGAAAGTCTAGACCAGTGGTGTCCAAAAGAATTTTCTGCAATGATAGAAATGTTCTATATCTGCAATATTCACTAGGGTATCCACTGGCCACATGTGGCCATTGAGCACTCATAATGTGGCTAGTGTGAATGAGGAACTGAATTTTAGATTTTAGCTAACTTAATTACTTTAATATTCAAATATCTACATGTGATTAGTGGCTCTCATATTCCCATCTTAGTGCAGATATAGAACATTTCCAATCCAGTCCACATCAATCAGACATTACTATTTATTTACCTTGTCCCCGCTCCATGGGCACTGGTCCACCTCCTGGCATTCCAACCTGGACCTGCATTCCTCCTGGAAGATAGAGGGCCAGAAAGAAAACACAAATTAGAACCGTTAGGATAGTGGCTGAATTAACAAATTTCCTCTTTCTGCCCTGTAAGCAGAAACCTACCAGGAAGATAACTACCATCAAACAATGCAGTTATATAAAATATGGAATTTGTTAGTATACTTTAGGCTTCAGTGACAGAAGAGTGAATTATATGAATACTTAACCTCATTGGTTACCAATAGCTTGGCAGAAAGTTCTTCTGCAATATAGGAGAACAATGGCACTTACCCTCCTCTCACAGGAGGCAGTAATATTCCCAGGGTATTTGGTAATGTGTGGGTATACTGTTTTGGTTGGGAGGACAAAGATGTGTGAGGGCAAAGCTGGTGTTTAATGTCTATTCAAAAAGATATATGCACCCCTATGTACACTGCAGCACTACTTACAATAGCCAAGATATGGAAGCAACCCAAGTGCCCATCAATGGACAACTGCATAAAGAAGAGGTGGTACATATATACAACGGAATATTACTTGGCCATAAAAAAGAAAATTCTTATCATTTGTGACAATATGGATGGACCTAGAATGCATTATACTAAGTGAAATAAGTCAGACAAAGAAAGACAAGTACCATATGATCTCGCTTATATGTGGAATCTAAAGAACAAAATACACGAATAATCAAAACAGAAACAGATTCATAGATACAAAGAGCAAACAAATGGTTGCCAGAAAGGGGCTGGGGAGTTGGGTGGAAAAAGTGAAGGGATGAAAAAGTACAAATTGGTAATTACAAAATAGTCACGGGGATGAAAAGTACAGCATAGGGAACATAGTCAATAATGTTGGAACAATTCTGTATAGTGCCAGGTGGGTACTAGACTAATCGGGGGGATCACTGCATAAATTACATAAATGTCTAACTGCTACACTGTACACCTAAAACTAATATAAAATAATACTGAATATCAACTGTAACTCAACAAACAAGAAATACTTAAAAAAAGAAAACACCCGTGGTGTTTAATGAGAACCCAACAGGGATACTAGATGTCCTGGAATGTATGAGATCGACCCTCAAAATCAAGAATTACCCTGTCTTGCAAACTTCCAAATGTCTTGCTGAACACATGACTGGAAACGTGTTTATAGTCATCTAAATTTAAAATGTAAGTCTGTTTTACTGGTAAACAAAAATGTTCTTTGCCCTGTTTATGTGTGTATGTATACATTTACTCATTTGCAAGACATGCAATTACTCAGTAAATTGTGAGTACTATATTTTATTTTGATAAGAACTTTACTAAGAGTATTCACAAGCAACTGTATGCCAACAAATTAGACAATCTGGGAGAAATGGATAAATTTCTAGAAGCATACAATCTTCCAAGACTGAATCAAGAAGAAACAGAAACTCTCAACAGACCGATTACTACCAAAGATACTGAATCAGTAATCAACAAGCTCCCAACAAACAAAAGTCATGGACCAGATGGCTTCACAGGAGAATTTTACAAAACACTCAAAAAAGAATTAACACCTATTCTCCTCAAACTATTCCAAAAAAATACAGAAAGAGCAAAGGCTCCCAAGCACATTTTACAATGCCACTATTACTCTGATCCCAAAACCAGACAAACACATTACAAAAAAACAAAACTACAGGCCAATATCCCTAATGAACATAGACACGAAACTCCTTAACAAAACACTAGCAAACCGGATTCAGCAACACATTAAAAAGATCATACACCGCAATCAAATGGGATTCATTCCTGGTATGCAAGGTTGGTTCAATACCCACAAATCAATTAACGTGATACATCACATTAGCAACATGAAAAATAAAAATCATATGATGATATCAATAGTTGCAGAAAAAGCATTTGACAAAATTCAGCAGTGATTTATGATAAAAACTCTTAGCAAAGTGGGAATAGAGGGATCATATCTCAACACAATAAAGGCCATATATGATAAACCCATAGCTAACATCATACTTAACAGGGAAAGGCTGAAACCTTTCTGCTTAAGATCAGGAACAAGACAAGGCTGCCCACTTTCACCACTTTTATTCAACATAGTTCTGGAAATTCTAGCCACAGTAATCAGACAAGAAAATGAAATAAAAAGGCATCCAAATTGGAAAGGAGGAAGTAAAATTGTCATTATATGCAGATGACATATTATACACAGAGAAACCCAAAGACTCCACAAAAAAACTATTAGAACTGATAAGTAAATTTAGTAGGGTAGCAGGATACAAAATTAGTATTCAGAAATCAGTTGCATTTGTGTACACCAATAATAAAATATCAGAGGGAGAAATCAAGAAAACAATTCCATTTAAAATTGCTTCTAAAACAATAAAATACTTTGGAATAAATTTAACCAAAGAAGTAAAAGACCTGTACTCAGAAAAGTATAAGACACTGAAGAAAGAAATCAAAGAAGATACAAATAAACGGAAACACATACCTTGTTCATGGATAGGAAGAATATAGTTAAAATGTCAATACTACCTAAGGCAATATATAGATTCAACACAATTCTTATCAAACTAACAATGACATTTTTCTCAGAAATAGAACATCTAATCCTAAAATTTATATGAAACCATAAAAGACCCCAAATAGCCACGGCAATCTTGAGAAATAAGAACAAAGTGGGAGGTATCATGTTACCAAACATCAAATCACACTACAAGGCTACAGTAATCAAAACAGTATGGTACTGGCATAAAACAGACACATAGATCAACGGAACAGAATGGAGAGCCCAGAAATAAACCCATCCATGTATGTCATTTAATCTATGAAAATGGAAGCAAGAATTTACACTGGGGTAGATGGTCTATTTAATAAATGGTGCTGGGAAAACTGGATTGACACACGCAAAATAATGAAACTGGACCACCTCCTTACACCATATACAAGAACAAATTCAAAATGGATTAAAGGCTTGAATGTAAGACCCGAAACCATGAAACTCCTACAAGAAAATATAGGGAGTAAATTTACAGACATTACCCTGAGAAATATTTTTACTGATATATCCCCTTGGGAAGTAGAAGAAAAAATAAACATATGGGATTACATCAAACTTAAAAGTTTTTTCACAGTAAAGGAAACCATCAATAAAATAAAAAGGCAGCCTACTGAATGGGACAAGATATTTGTCAGTGATCCATCTAATAAGGGGTTAATATCCAAAATTTAAAAAACACTCATTCAACTCAACACCAAAAAACAACCCAATTGAAAAATGGGCAGAGGACATGAAGATACATTTCTCTAAATAGGGCATACAGATGGCCATCAGGCATATAAAAAATGCTTACCCTCAGTAATCATTAGAGAAATGCAAATAAAAACCACAATGAGATAGCACCTCACTCCTGTCAGAATGGCTATCATCAATAAATCAACAAACAACAAGTGCTGGCGAGGTTGTAGAGAAAAGGGAACCCTGGTGCATTGTTGGTGGGACTGCAGATTGGTGCAGCCATTATGGAAATCAGTATGGAGGTATCTCAAAAAACTGGAAATGGAACTACCTTAGGGCCCAGCAATTCCACTCTTAGGCATTTATCCAGAGAAATCCAAGATGCTAATTTGAGAAAATGTATGCACCCCTATGTTTATTGCAGCACTATTTACAATAGCCAAGACTTGGAAACAACCAAAATGACCATCAGTAGATGACTGGATTAAGAAATTGTGGGGCCGGCCGAGTGGCGCATTGGTTAAGAGTTGGCTTGGGGTGCCAGCTCTGAGCAGCAGGGCCCCATTTCAGTTTTCATTATTTGAGAAAATCACATCACTGATGCCAACAGTTGTTGTGCTATTTGAGTTGTCAACAAAATGTATCCATCTACATTTGTAGCTTTTACATTCGTGGTATAGGTGCAAGCACCAGATCGCTATCTTTTGTTTCTAGTGTAGTTGTGCCTGAACACTTGCATATTAAAAAATACTTTTTAGGGGGCCGGCCGAGTGGCGCGATGGTTAAGAACTGGCTTGGGATGCCAGAGGGCCCCGGTTCGGATCCCACATATGAGGGCCAGTGACACTGCC